TATTATGCGTATGGGTAGTTAATTATGCTGACAGCCCATTATAAAGCACCCTAAAAATATAGCCCCATTACAACACTAATAAATCATAAAGTAAAACTAATTTAAGTAACTTAGAGTTAAGGTAATCTTAAGTCTAAGTCTTAGGTCTACATCTTAGGTCTTAAAATTATTGCAGCGATGGGCATCGTAGATTTATACTTCAAGGGTACTTTGCTGCGAATTGAAGAGGCTTCCATCACGCAGTTTTTCCGCGAAATCGGAGCGATCTTTGCCCACTGCGCGAGCTCCGATTTTAGCGATGACCGGCGACAAACTCGTGGAGTAGGGAGACAGTTCGCGGTCATTCATGGACAGAATGCGGGTAATGAGTTTGGCCGGTTCCGTACATAGCTAGAGCCATAGCAGACCTAGAAGTCCCAGCCATAGGACCTCTGGCCAGAACCACAACCAGCCCAGCAGCCAACGACCCTACAGACATGACCACGACAGCCGCCACTTTCGTCGTCATCATCATCATCGACCCCGTCAGCCAGAGGGACACGCCGCACAGTGGTAAAAATAGCTAATCTAGGTGGACATTAAGAAAAAATTTCATGTCAACATATCGATGAATGGACTTTGTATTTTTATCAAAGCTGGTTGACGAGATAAAAACTGCATTGAAAATTCGATTTGATGTATTAACGCTTTTTCAAACACTTCACTCTTTCCAACGCTACAAGCGGTTATCTGTTCTTATAAAATTTAGACTGTGTAATTTATTGTTTTGCCGGCTTTCAAATTTAAAAATTTCAATTATTTCCTTTTGGGTGTACTTAATAAAGGTAAGTGCAACATATTTAGCCAATAACCAGATTTTGAAAGGTATTAAGTTATCCGGTAGATTAATGACGCTTTAACTTATCATAAAACTCAACTTTTGAAATGATGTAACTTTTTTTCTTTGTGTTTCATTGCCTCCCGTGTGACATGGCTTTAAAGTATAACATCTACAGAGTATGTTAAACTTATAATCATACCCATCCAGACCCATAGGCAGCGGCATATTCAGAAATTTGGGGTGGAAGAAGTTGAAAAAGTGTAACAAATTATAATTTAAATAAAAGCGTTCATTCAGTGTTTTCTATTTTTAGTGTTTATTACAAATCAAAATGTATTTAATTGTTATGAAAAAAGCTTTCGAAATTCCAAAATGCACTAAAATTATGTTTGGAGATAAGAGTTATATTTTGACCTGTAGTGGTGATCGCCGACCGATCATTAATTTATCTAAATAGCCTACGATACGAGGTATAATATTTGTATTACCTAAAAATGATTTCATTCGATAACAATAATAGTAGAACATCTGGGTCAGTTATTATTTGTAATTTTTTTAATTTTCGTATTTTTTGTACATATTTTATATTTATAATAATATTTGAAAATATAGAAACAATTTTCGGGGGGAGGGGGGATTAAAAACCCTAACCCCCTCTCCCAGATAAGCCACTATCCATAAGGTTAAGATATTGAATTTTGTTCAGAAAAATGTCCATCTTTAAAAGTGATCTTTTTGATGTGTGGGTGGCACACACTGACGAAAAAGATAGAATTTCTGAGGTCAAGCAATACATCAGCCAACAGTTAAATTTATATGACATTACTGATGAGGTCACTAAGGAATTTGTAATGAAAAAAGTAGACAGTTTTTTGATAAATGTGCGTTCACGGTGGGTTCAAAGTCGATGGAGCCGTCATAATTTTTTGAAAAAAAATTCTGAGTGGCTGAAGGGGAGTGTAGTGGATATTGGAACGCTTTCTGTTGGCCCTAGTAGCAGTAAAGCTCGTACCAGCAATCCTTTTGAAGATTTGGGGGAAAATCAAAAAAAGCGACGAATTCAGCATTTGTTGGACAATTATTCCCATGAAGAGCTTTCATATGCTGCACGCCTCAACTTGTACGCTTCTGGAAAGCGAGATGTTTCGGCTTTGGTAAAAGAAGTAACAGAAAATTCCCCAGGTATTGCTACTGCTCTAAAAAAAGCATACAAAACTCCAATTTCTTCGCCAAAACGTTATTCGCCTGAAGAAGCACTTGCACTTTTTATTCAGGGACGTTTCACCAAATTTTCATATACAACTATGCAAACTGGAGCCAACAATCGATCAGCCCCGATTTATCCCTCCTACCCCTTAGTTTTGGAGGCAAAGAAGTTATGTTATCCAGCCGATGAGTCAATAATCATAACAGAAACATCAGCACAAGTCACTTTACAGGGCCTTCTAGACCATACCAGTCAACGGTTGGCTTTGTATTTGGAAGAAGTTCTGAAGAGCAATGTTGTTTCTACTGACTTAACATTATACTGCGAATGGGGGTGCGATGGTAGTTCCGGTCATTCCAACTATAAGCAACGATATGTGGATGGTGGACAACTACAATCAAACTCTGATGATGGCGAAGACGAGAACTTAGAAGAGCAAGGCCCAAACAAAAGTTTCAACTTTACCGATTCAGCTCTCTATTAGATTTCCCTAATGCCTTTGCAGCTAAAAACAAATGGTGACAATAAGATAATTTGGCACAACAAAAAATCGTCGTCTCCTCGGTTTTGTAGGCCAATAAAAATTGTCTTTGAAAAAGAGACTACTCTACAGACAAAAAGGGAAATTACGAACATTGAATCGCAAATAGAAAGTTTACAGCCAACAATGATATATGTAGATGGGAAAAACTCAACTCATATAATTAAAATTCACTATGACCATGGTTGACGGCAAGACTATTAGTGCGTACACTGGAAAATCGGTTCAAACCTGCAGCATATGTGGCGCTACCCCGAAGTTAATGAATGATCTTCCATCAATATATAGTCGTCCAAAGGCAGTGGTGTTCCCATAGGGTATACTCCATATACGCCGTATACTCTCGAGATTTTTTTTATAAATCATGGGTATACTGCGTATACTCTCAAGTCTCAATTCATTTGTGAAAAAAAATAGTTATTGTTTTTTGTAGTGGGCTTATGTCTTTATAGAAAACCGAATAATATATATTTTTATTTTTGGTACGGAAATTGTTTTCGGCCGGTAAAAACTAAAAACTGTGCACTAGGACGACGTTCGTCAGTGTTATCTTTACGACGTTGTTATACTGAATACTCAGAATAGTAGTTGTACTAAAATAATCATGTCTATAAATGTATTATATTTATAAAGATAGTAAGTAAAATGTTGTGCACCAGGCCTATTTTTTCATAAAATTATTATTATTTTGGAAAATAACGTCAATCCTGTAAACCCAATTTTACTAAATTGTCATTATCACTATTATGATCGACCTATAATAGGCCGTCACAAGCGATAATAATATTACAATTTCATACTTTTTACAGTTTGACAGTTATATTATATAGAATGCATTCTCATTGAGATTATTTTTATAGTATTATATTCCCAGACGGGCTAGACTAGACCTCGTTAGTTACACTTCGGTTGGTGTTCGGGTATTTCTAATGAAAATTTGTTTCGTTAATCGTTCTTTTTTTTAGTAATACAAATTAAAATGAGTTCGAAACGTGGTAGTATCGATAGATTTTTTACGACCGGTCCAGGGAAAAAAAATAAAAGTGACGCTCATGTAATTGCTGATGCTGGTCTATCCTCGATAACATCCAATAAGGATAATATCGATTGTGCTAAAATGTGGCCTACATTATGGACGAACGAACAAGTGGCAGAATTTCAGGAAAAAAATCCATGGTTAGATTGCCAAAACGGGAAATTAGGATGTAGTACTTGTATTAAAGGAAAAAAAAGTATTCAATTTCAAAAATCGAATGCTGATGGTAAAATTCGAATCTCGTCCGAATGGGTAGATTTTGGTATAATAGCTGCTGGAAGTAATAGAAAAAATCAACTGGCGTCTTTGAGGAGTAAAATTAAACAACACTCAGAAAGTAAATCTCACGTGTTAGCAGAACAAATTACGGAGAAAAGCTCTAAAAAAATGTTGGATAATATGTTTGAACATATATCCGAAAAGGAAATGGATTCAAATATGCGAATTTTTGAAACGGTGTATTGTATGGCAAAGAACCATCGCCCCTTCTTGCAATTTGAAGAACTTGTACAACTTCAGCAAATCAATGGATTGGACATGGGGTCATCCTTGCATAGCCGGACAATTGCTACGCGAATGGTAAATGTTATAGCAAAGGAAATGTGGAAACGACTCATGCCTTATACAGTCAGACTCGAAATTCACCATTTTGGTGGACGAAGCGACTACGTTAAGCACCAAGTACACTTTAATTGTTTATATTTTGTCATATTTTAATACAGATGATCCCATAGTAGCATTCTTAGATCTGATTGAGCTGAATGGACAAGACGCTGAAACTATTGAAAAAACCTTATGGTTAGGTTTAAAACGTGTAGGAATATCAAGGTCGTTTGCGTTCAAGAATTGGATTGCGTTTGCAAGCGATGGTGCAAGTGTGATGATGGGTAGAAAAGCTGGAGTCGCTGCAAAATTGTGTGAAAAGATGCCGCAACTATTCGTATGGCATTGTTTATGCCATCGCCTTGAACTATCAGTACACGACGTCTTAAAAAACTGCACTGGTGTTTCCCGTTTCCAGAGTTTCATGGACAAACTCTACACGTATTACCACCAAAGTCCCAAAAACTCGAGGGGATTAGATCATGCTTGTGTGGAAGTGGGCATTGAAATGAAAAAAATAGGTCGTATCTTAAATGTCCGCTGGTCTGCTAGTAGCTTCCAAACAGTAAAGGCTATATGGAACAACTATCCTGGTATTCATACGCACGTCTCTGAAATTCGTGATTCTACAGCTAATGGGATAAAAAAAAAATTGGAATCTTCTTCCTTCCTTTATGAACTTTGACTCTTCTACGATGTCCTTTCTGAACTTGGAATGTTATCTCGCATACTTCAATCTAGGAAAACAACTTTAATGCAAGCTCAATCGGAGATGTGCAGAACAATTAGGATTCTAGAAAGCTTGAAGGCTAATCCTGGTGAAAAAGAAATGGAAGTAGCTAAAGCTATTCAAAAATCAGTTCATAAAGGTGTCAAAATTACAATAACAAATTCTGGAGGGATAAACAGGCTTCAGTTTTTGCAGAACTTAGTTGACAACATGCGTCAACGTTTGTTCAAAGACCATGAAAATAGTACAATGTTAGAAGACCTAAAGGTAAAGGAAATTTCTAAGTATAATTGCATTTACTATAATAGGCCATTGTTTAAATGAAATTTTCTTTTATTGTGTAGGTGATCGACGAAGTATTTAAAACGGAAACCGACGACGCCAGAGGAGAAGATGAAGTCAAAAGAGTGGCATGTAGATTTGGTTTATCTGAGTTTGAAAGTGTTATAGATTTTCGTACACGTAATGCTTATTCTAGTCTGATAAAAACGCTGAACATACTCCCCACAACAACAGCTGATTGCGAACGAGGGTTTTCCGATATGAACCTCACGATAACTGATTTAAGAACTCGTTTAACAATTGAAAATGTGTCAGATTTGATGTTCATCTTCATAAATGGCCCTCCTATTGCAGATTTCAATCCACGACCATATGTGAAGGTTTGGCTTCGAGAGCATCGATCGGCAGTCTCTGCATTACGTGGTAAAAGAAGTGAGGAAATAAATAGACCAGCAAGGCAGAGAGTTCCAAAAACAATTTTTTATTAATATATTTAAATAAATAATTATATTTAATGTATTCATTTTGTAAATAAATTTTAAAAATGAAAATAAATATTCGTTTTTTATCATTAACACTCCTCTCTTATATACCAAGGTTATAGTTTGGAACTTAATATAGTCAATAACATATGGAAGACTTTTTTTAGCATCTTAACTTTTTCAATGTAATTGTTAAAATGTATTGTGCCGAGTATACCCTCAACAAATTTGATGGGAATATCACTGTCCAAAGGATACAACACAGTACGACTTCGGAATTTCTTCACTTCACGCCTACATTCGCTGCCTCGAGATGTTTTTGAGTATTGCTTATCGGCTACAAGTACTCAAATGGCGAATTTACAAAAAACATTCAATCGATTTGGAAATGTTCGAGAAAACCAAAAGTGATGTACAAAGACAGTTGCGGGAAAAAACCGGATTGCTTGTCGATGTTGTGAAACAAGGCTTTGGAATAACTAACGATGGGAACACAGCAGCTCGTTTTTTTGAATATTATACTCTTGTCGCAGCGATAACAGGAATTAACGAAGAATTGCTGAAAAGGTTCAGTATTATTCTTCAGGCTATCTCTAGTGGATTCACTATCAATGTTGAGCGTTTTTCAGCTTACACAAAAAAGACGGCTGAACTATATGTGTCTGTTTATAAATGGTACGCAATGCCAGCAAGTGTGCATAAATTATTAATTCACGCACATGAAATAATAGATTCGTGTTCCATGGCAATTGGAATGATGTCCGAAGAAGCCCTCGAAGCCAGAAATAAGGATTTGAGAAGATTCAGATGAGAGCATACCAGAAAAATCATCCGAAAAAGTACGATGGAAGACTTATTCCACACCCTTCTATATTCATCGGACCCATACATATCAACATTGGCAAATGATAGTGCAAATTTCAATTACCAAGATAAATGTTTCCCGGATGAATTATTAGATCTACTATCAGAGCCATTTGGCTCTGATAGTAGATCTAATGACTATTCCGAGTCCCTAGAAATGGAACATTAAAGTAGGAAGTTGGTAACAAAAATTTTGATTTTATTCTTCTTCTATTTTTATTCATCGTCTTATTTTCTTCCTTTCATTTTGGATTTTAAATTAACAGATATATACATTTTCTTTTTAACAAAATATTTAATACATTTTGTAAATAAAAAAATATTTTTTGTTTATTTTATAATATTCTATATTATTCTACATTTATGTAGAACATATGTTAATTTTTTAAAATAAACAAAATATTCTTTTTGTATGATTTTTGTCGTTTAACCATTACCACATAATAATAAAGATTATACACAAGTAACGATAAGTATCTTAAGAAGATACTGACAAACTTTCAAGTGATTTCAACTATTGTGTAGAAGTTATGGGCAATGTCCACCTAGATTAGCTATTTTTACCACTGTGCGCCGCCGTCAGGCCACGTCCATCCCGACCAGAGGCCGCCACCCTCCACCGTCGTCCCCACCAGCCAGCACAGTACACGCTGATCCACCAGGAGCAGGAGCGGCCCAATCACCGGCACAGCGTACGTGACAGTATGGGACGGTTCCGGCCCCAACCCGAAGCCCACGGATCCGGACGGTCATTGTCCCGTCTACCACCGGCTCTGACGCCGTCCGCCCCAACCACGCCTGTCCAGCAACCCACGTTGGCCCAGATGTCACCTGCGCCGATGACTGCCGTCCAGCACCAACCATTGGCCCAGACGTCACCTACGGCACCCACTCGCCGCGGCACGGGATTGGTCACGCCAACCACGCCCGGCCAGCAGCCACCGTCAGCCCAGCCATCGTCTGCACCGAGGTCATGGAGGTCACGCCGGCCATCAACTTATTCCAGGAGGCTGCCCCGATAGTACTCCCTGTCAGACTGGGGGGGGGGAGTATGACGCGGTCGCATCGCGACTCCGGTGGTGGGCGAGTGCTATCACACTCGCCACCGCCGGATGGCGCCCGCGCCCGCTTCCCCTTCCAATCGTCCGACAGGCCGCGCTCGCCGGACGGTCACCGGCTGCAGCCGCCGCCGCCGCCGAACTACACTTCCATTGGGATCACCAAACGGAGCTTGTATTTTATATATCACTGTATTTATATTTCACGAATAATATAATCATCCGTGATACTTTACTCTCGTGTTACTCTTATATAATTCAACTACCCCAAATCGCTCATCACGAACAACAACACGGTTTTGCCAGGCGTACCGTTTAGGCTCAACATTTGTAGGACAAAGATGTATGGGTACAAATGAGTACATGAATAAACATTCATCATTAGTAGCGGAAACACTTCTTTTTTGCTTGTAACTACTTCGTCCTCCACTTCCATCGCATCCCCATTTGCTAAAAAGGATGAAGTGTTCTAATCCTTCGTCTATTAGATGCTTATGAACAGGCTGCTGAACTTGACACAGTCTTTGTGCTGTCAAGTTTAAAATAGCCTGCAAAGACAAATCAGCTCTTGACTCGGTAATGGTCATCTTGTCTTCTGGTACGCAACAGGCTTTCTTGGTACTAGTGATTAAGTAGTATGGTGGATACAACTTATGGCCTGCTTCTTTCGCTGTTTTTCTGACTTTCGTAAGATGCTCTAGACATCTTACAGTCAACAAATTTAGCTAGAGCTTCTTCGGGTGATAGTAATCGCATGTTACTTAAAGTGGAACTGCTTGTGGGATGTATATTTGATGTAGAGGGGGTCGGAAGATTTGAATTAAAATTTTTTAAAACCTGTGACGCAGTTCTATTTCCTGAAGCATATAGAGAGAGTTGCGAAGCAAAAATGAGTTTTTCTTGCCCTGCCTCCAACAAACTTTTGACCTTCCTTTTTTTAGTTTTGTCACTTAAATCGGCAAAATTTTTTTGGGGACGACCGTCATATTTAACACGAGGAGGTTGTATTACCTGATGTTCAACAGTAAATTTAAAGTTTGGTCCTTTGAGCCATTCAGAATATTTGGCTCTGAATATGTCACGTTTTCGTTGACTATTTTCTGCCATCTTTGGCTAATAGAGGAAAAATACCTATGCCGAGTATGCGATAACTAGCTATACAAAATACACATGTTGGTAAGCAAGTCTTTTGCAGCGTCTTTTTCTGCTAAAGAACAACTATAGTTTAGTTGTAAACCAGTGACCGATGGATAGACACTTATGATAGATAAAATACAACAATAACCAGATTCCGTATCTACTATTGTTTTACTTAACGACATTTCGCATTCTTCGACAACTTTATTTAAAACATCAAGGGGATTGTCTAAATTTAATTCGCCATCAGAGTTGTATTGCTGAACGAGTTGATCCAGAGTCTCAGTGTTAGGGAATTTGGTTTGCTTGAAGAGTAAATGATAGTTTGATACTATTTCATCCATACATGCGTTTTTTTTCACCTTCATAAATTCTGGATTAGCGTTATTGCCAAATATGTGAGTATTTTTAGGTATAGTGAAAAATTTTTCATCCATAGTTAATAGTCTTGCCATCATTTGCTGGGCAGCCAAATGTTTGGCTTGTTGTTTAGTTTTGTGGATTGCTTCCTCGCATAGACTACTGATTCGGCAATTGATAGTAAACATTTTTGCATGATCTTTCCCTTCTTCACGTATTTCTTCATATATAGGCAAATTTATTTGTAGTTTGCAACAGATACCATTTAGTTGTCCAACGAAATTTTCCTTAATGGTTTTTTCAAAAGGGGACACAACATTTTTAATATTTAACTCTTTAAATTCGTTTACTAATAAATCCGGTTGATCGGCAATTAGTTTTTCAAATAGTTTTCCAGCTGTTGCTTGTCTGGCTTCTTTTTTTGAACTACCTTCTCCTAATACTTCGTAGCCATCTAATTCCAATCTATAGACAAATTTATAGGGCAATTGTCTTAAGCCATTGTACACAAGATCGTATCGAGGCCATAGTTTTCGCTTAACTGCATATTCTTGAATAAAGGTCACTGGTGATTGATTTACAGAGTTGATATAATCAGTTTCTTCTTGTAGGTCAAACCTCACATCTTCCATTTTCTATAAGTATAACTTTATTATTTAACGTTTTCAAGCCCTGGAAAATAATAGTTCTTTATTATTAAAAATAAAAAATAAGGTTTTTATTTATTTATAACTAAAAGTTACCTGTTCCAAATATTGACACTATTGTCATTTAGGGTTATTTAAAATTGTATTGTTGATTATTTTTAACATTTTTTTAATGTTAGGCAAAATTAAAAAAACAAAAGCTAATTAAACATAATATTTATATTTTAAATAATGTGTATTCTATTATAAAGAGTTTTTAAGTTACAACAATGTCTTAGTTATAATTAAATTTATTAATTAAGATAACTGGCAAATTGTAAATTAAGTGTAAAAATGTTCTTAGAAAGCAAAAATATTAATAATTATAAATCCATGTTTAAAAAAAAAAAATGTTTAAATAAGTGAAGAAAATTCTAGACTGGGTTATTCTTTATTGTGTTGCATGTTAATACAACAATAATGACATAATATGCTTATTGATTGAATCAAATAAATAAGTGTTGACAATGGGTTAAAGGGAAATAAATGATATTTAACGTAGGTACCTACATGGAATTTACAGAATGTGAAATGAATGTAGTTTTTTTGAGGGTGTATCCTGTTTTTTTTGCTTTCCCATAACAACTAATATATGGTAAATACCTACAGGCTATAAATTATATTTAAATATCAAACTAGGATGACAATAAAATATGTACTCACTTAACAAAGTATCGGTCGTTCCTTTATGTAATTCAATAAGAACCTAACAGGTAATTTGAAGTCCGTTTTTAATGGTTATTTAACTAATTTGCAAGACCAACAAGGCGTTTGTGCGTCGCTACCGCAGGATACTACTCGCCCCAGAGTCCAGGTGTTGTCTGTTTGCACGCAAAAATCGATGCAGCTGCAATGGCTACATGACCGCGCATTGCTTTGGAGCTAAACACAAATGGCTGCTAGGGGTGAATTTCATGGAATAAATAAACAACGGCTGGGGGGGGACTGTTTTTTCCCCTGTGATAACAAAAGCGTCAGTGGCGCGTTACCCCGTTGAGAATTGAGTGAATCGTGGCATAATAAACAGGTATGTCAGCAATTTGTGATAGCCGAAAAATGGCCGACGGTATTTTTCGTCGACCTTGTATTCCTTACAGAGAGAATCCCGGCAGCCATTTCGTGGAGATCACAAGTTACCGACATACCTCTTGGTTTTGCCTGCCCTTACGGTAACAGACCAATACATTTTATTGTTATTGTTTAATGTCTATTATTAGTTATTACGAATAAACCCCGAGAATTAGTTACCTCGAATAATAGTAAATTGTTATTATTATTACTTATTAGTTTATTATTATTTTATTTATTTTTATTATATTTTCAGGCCAGAGAAAAAACGCATTATTGGATATTTACAACGTTAAAATAAGTATAACATGAGTACAAATTGTATTTGATTTTTTGGAGGCATAACAATTCGAGAAATGCTGTTTAAGGAGAAAAAGTTTTATGGACGAATAAACGCTTCTACATATTTAGTGACTGGTAAAGTACATAATTGCTAATTAGATTGACGTTATGACACAACCCAACAAATAATTCGATTTTGGGATTATTCAATTTTGTCTTAAAAACTTGTGTTTTGCGTAGTTTTTTATTCAAGTTAAACATTTTTTTTTTATTCTTATGACATTATTTGTGGTAAAATAGCTAAATATTTTTTGGACAAAAAATCAAATAGATAATGAGTTTTTACCTATTTGCTTTGCATAATATCAATTTTACTGAAATATAACATATTTATAACAAATCTAGTTTAGACAAAAGAGAATGCTTGAGAATACTAAATATACTTATTATGGCAGTCATTGGGTTTAAACTGGGCCAAACGATATCTTGAAATTTTACAATTTACATTTTACAATTATTTTATTTTTACTCAGGCGCTGAGGGAAAGGTAGAAGAAATTGACGGGTCAAAATTTGGAAGACGGAAGTATAATAGTGGACATCACGTTGATGGTCAATGGGTATTCTGCGGTGTTGAACGGGAAACCAATTGTTGTTTTTAGTGCCCGTCGATTGAGGAGATAAATCCACTTTTATTTTCATTATAAAAGAATGGATTATTCCGGGCACCACCATCATAAGCGATTGCTGGAAAGTAGGTAGTCTCAGTAAATTCGTCTTAAGTTATTTAAGTAAAATAATATAATAATTACATTTTAGAGTTACGACTGCTTAGAAGATGAAGGTTATCAACACCGAACAGTTAATCATTCTGTGACATTTAAAGACCCTGAAACTGGTGCTCACATCAATAAGCGAGGGATGCACAAAGTCAGCAGTAACTGTTGTAGGTAATATACGAGTAAAGCAAGCTTGGGGTATATGCGGCGTGGTGGTTTTCCATTGTCTTCCGTACCAGTCTAGTTATTATTATTTATAGTCCAATATCTTGTATACTTTTCAAGAGTTTTAATATGTTTTAAGAAATATAAAAAAATATATTGAAGTTTTCAGATAAACACATTTCACAACGGCTAACAGGCAAACATTATATTTTTTTATTAAATATTATTATCAATATTTAAACTTAAGTTACACTGATTAACTTTCTATGAATAGTTAAACAAAGTCCCATTTATGAACTTAAACTTAACATTTGTGTGGACACGTTTTACGTTAAAGATCAAACAGGGGTTTTTTCGTACGTATCCGCCAATTTAGCTTATATGTCCATTCTTATTGTTTGAAAATGGCTGGTTTGTTCATACGATGGCGCACAGGTCTGATTCTTTCATACTTGTTAATTACAATTTCAAAAAAGGCTGATACTGCGAAAAGAAAAATTGAAATTTCTCAATAATGGTTGTAGCTATAGGCACTAGAGTGGGCTCATTTAATGTATTTTGTTTTGCCTAATATATTGTTACGGCATATACAGCCGTTTGTCTGTTAGCCGTCAATATTATTTTACTGGTATTATACATTCTGTTATATGAGTAAATATAGTATGTGTTTAAATTATTAAATAGAAAAATACTATGTATTGATGGGCTTTTATATTAATCTTATGTATTTATTATCATACATTTTTAGTTTGAAGTTATATTGTTTCGACAGGGCAATTTTTATTTAAACAACACATAATAGTTTTCTATTCATGATTTATTTTTTAATTTCAAGAATCAAATAATTATTTATTTAAATTTTACATTATGTCGTACATGTATACACATTTTTTTCAATATAATTTTTATTACCCCAAATAAAAAGGTTAAACAATATTTATTTTTTTTGGTTTTACGTTAAATTTGAAATGGTTTGCAATTGTTATATTCTGGATGTCTGTTGATCATTTAGATAGAATAAAAAACATGTGTTTATTTTACTGAAATTGTTATAAATTGAAAAAAATATTTAATAATGTCTAAACTTAGTAACCTGTATAATATATGTATATTTTTTTTTTAAAAGACAAAATTTGAAAAATGTGTTGTAAAAAAAAAATAGTAAGCTATAGCTACAGCAAAATGTAGTACCTATTGTACAATGTTTAAATCGATCTATTAAGTATTAAAGATGCTCTGTAAATTGTATAGAGGACAAGTTTTCTAAAAAAATATTACTCTGATATCTAAAGTTGCTTTATTTACATAAAAAATTTAACTGAAATTGTATTTTATTTTTATATAAATTAATTCTATTCTATTATAATAATTTGTAAATTATAATATGATATTTTTTTTTTGTGTTTTTACTGCGTGCTGTTACAACTTAGACAAGACATTAGCTCTGGCACATCTCTGATAAGAGATTAGAGATAAGGGATATGTTGTATTCACCACGATAAAATTTTAAATAAAAAAAATTCAATGTAATTTAACAGATCATATTTCCTATGAATTGTTTAAAGTCAGATATTATGAAAACACTAAAATATTAGCCAGAAACTTGATATGTTTATTAGTCACCTTAGATACTAGCTTGTTCAATATCTATATTTCCACTACTACTCTAAATTTATTCGGTACTTCAACGAGACATGAAAATGCTCTTTCGTGGTTACATGGAATACTGGATCACCTTGTATACCTAATTTAGCATTTCATCGAGTACGAATTCATATTAGATGAAACACTGACTAAACCTAAGCTAATCGAAACTGAGAACATTAATATTATAATGAAAATTTGAATTTATTTTATTATGTTTTAGCCGAAGCATAACATTTATAATAACTATAACGAAATGTTCAAACAGTAAAGAAAAAACACAAAAACTAAACAGAAGACTTAAAAATACAACTTGTTTTCGACAAACAACTAAACATCATATTATGTTTTTCACTTGTATTGGTACTTGTTATGCGCCCTAATCAAACAAATTATAAAAAATGTTATAATTCTTCCAACGATAGGAATGATCAGAATTAAAAGGGTTTCTTAATGATTTTAATGGGTTACTAATGATTTTTTATTAACACGCTTATATTAGCTTCACTTGTATGTATGTTTGTATGTAACTATGTAACAAAAAGAGATAGGCAACCGAACGTACATGCGTGTATTCATTGTTGTTTACCTGAAGTTTTCAAGTAATAGAGACACGTATGTACTAGAATTAAAAAAACACGATTTTAAAGCACATTGAACTAAAAAGTGGAAAATAAAAAAAATATAGTTTAAAAAAACTAAAAAACACGCTTAAATAGTAAAATAAATTAAAAAGTAGAAAATAATTTTCAAAATAGAAATCAATTAATAAAAAATAAATAGTATTATTGTGAAAAAAGCGTGGGGCGCTTTTCAAGAACTGATGTATGTAGCACCCCACGCTTTTTTCACAATAATACTATTTATTTTTTATTAATTGATTTCTATATTGAAAATTATTTTCTACTTTTTAGTTTATTTTACTATTTAAGCGTGTTTTTTAGTTTTTTTAAACTATATTTTTTTATACAGTAGGTTATACATCTGCTAATTTTATTCACAATGTAAAGTTGCATAAAAATCTATAATCTAATAATAAATGAAAGGACTATAACATTTAAGAAATTCGTTATAGACGAATAATGACGGTATTTCTTTTTAATTTCATAATATTCTTATCGATTTTGGTTTTTTTTATACTTTATTTTATAGTAAGTAAAATTTTTGCTTCAATTATTATTATTATAAAACATTTATGGCGAGCTGCGACTTAATAAAGGCGGGCTGCATAAATGTTCAGTAAAGATTTAATGAACTAATATTTATTTAGTAGCATTTAAACATAATAGTTACTATAATTAAGATCTCTGTAGCTATAATATAAAGTGAAAATTTAGTATTTTGTTCTGATTCAGATTTTTTTAAAATTAATATTATTGTCTCTTTTATGCATTTTTTTTATACACGTTAATAAAGTAAACTGTTAGCAATTTACTCATGTTGGTTGTTCAAATTCTGTATAATAATATAAGTCATCGGTCCATCCTGAAAAATAGATTTTGCTAAATTTGTTGAAATTGATACTACTCTATTGAATAATGAAAAATAAAATTATTTTTAAATGTTTAATTAATATCATTTAATAGGATGAATTGTTGGTTAGCCATCTAAAAAAAAATCAATGTTTGGATGTATACCTTTCATGGTTTACTTATGATGTATAAATTATGAATGTATATCAATTTATCCATTATATATAAAATATGTCTGTGGATAAGTATCAAATAATATAGGTATTTGATGCACTGAATATTATTATTATTATGTGACTGTCCAGATCTAAAAACTTAAAAGTTATTTTATTTAACCGCTTATAATTCTATACTCTGACTCGAATAATCAAAAATATTTTTTCTTATTTAATACACTTCAATTCCTTTTATATTTAATATATACACAGATTGCCCTCTAGACATTTCATTCATGTTATGTACTCTTGATCTTCTAAATAACCGTCACAGGGTACACAAATATATCATTCTACCACACTTCTAGTAACTAATAGACGTCTTAAGTATCAAACAATTAACAAGTATCAGAGTACCTTTAATGCTCCATGGCACGTGTAATTTATTCTGATGGTTAAATTATAAACGTACAGTACGTCATTACCGGATACTGGCATAGCCGGTGATTTCTGAACTAATAAGGATTTTAATTCAACCAATATCTAGACATATGATGTATTACGTTTGAACTGTAACGGACCTACTTGGCTAGCTAGCTAGGCTAGACAAAGAAGCCGTCGATAAAGCTAAAATAGACGGATTCTTACAGGGAAACGGTTGACTAAGCCGCTTCTACGTCTAAGTGGCCTTAAAGTCTCCCTTATTAATTTAATACATCGCCCGAGGAGCTATAACGGGCGGTCACACTGTTAAATAATCTAACTCTAATAATTATACAATATATATACAGGTGTCATGTAAAGTTCTACCGAGCTTCAAATGAGACATTCGGGATGCTCTAAGGGTACAATAAATGGTATTAATTTTTTTTTTATTTAAAAATTATTTAAAATAGAACTTGTATCTCATTAAAAAATGGTCTTATGAAAAAAATTATTTCAGATTTGAAATCAGGAGAAAAAATCTTATTGAATTTATATGTAACACGATTTTTTTGGTATCTGGCCACATTTGCGTCCACCGAGAGTGACCACTGTGAGAATCAAAAATGTAATATATCCAAATTTGTTTTTGTATCACTTAGTTGATAAACTATAAAAACTACAAACCTTGTAATTTATCGTTTTATTATGATTATTAAAAAATATATAAGCTTATAGATATAATAACTTGATTATAACAGTTTTCTTTTTTCGTACAATATTTTTCAAAATCTATATAGTAAATTTTTTTATTTCTATTAACGGACGTTAATAGAACGTTAACATGGCGTTCTTGAACATCCCGGTCCCCGCGCCCGGGGTTCTAATATGTTCAAATCCCATTTTTCTTTAAATTATGAACCATTTTCAAATGAATGATTTATACGAATCGTGTGACTATAATTGTAACAACATGTTAACGTTTTTTTTAATAATTCTAAAATACCTCACTACTTAGTATCAAAGTAAATCATTATTAAAAAACATTTTTAATGTAACTGTAAACAATTGTTATTTATATACAATAGGTTCAGATTATTAAAACACAACTAACCCAGTAACCCATAGTCCATAATTTTGGATTACTATGGAATAAATTTAATAAAAATTTAGTAATCCCTTTGTAATCGGTTACGGATTGTAATCCATTTTTTGCCCATTTCTTGTCAAAACCATTGATCTGTTGACTCATGTTGCTCCTCGTCTATGTCATATCAATCTAACATATAGTTTGATGGAAGAATTGCCTATAATAGGGGGGATATCATGAAAGAAACGACCCTATGCAATTTATATAGTTAAAGTTCCATGGAAATCTTCACTTTCGCTCTATATCTCTTACTCGTGTTAAGCTCCCGATTCTTTTCTTTTAGCGAAATCATAACATCGTGGCTCTCATTCA